GTGAATATAGTTTTGACATATTGCGCAGCGCTCAACAGATCTGCTTATACGCAAACTGCCATTTCAGCGGCTTGTTCGCGAAATCGCGCAAGGTTTCAAATCGGACCTTCGATTTCAGTCATCTGCGATTGGTGCCCTTCAGGAAGCTACCGAAGCGTACCTTACCTCACTCTTTGAAGATACGAATTTGTGTGCCATCCATGCCAAGAGAGTCACCATACAGCCTAAGGATATCTTGTTGGCACGTCGGCTGCGTCGGGATATTGATTGAGGAATATAGAATTACTCCAGGATAACTTGGAATTGCGTAACTGAACCCTTCTAGAAGAATGATATGTCTTTTGGATATGGATGAATACGGACGAATATGATGTCCACCTTGGGAAAATGTCCCATCCCGTTGAAATCAACTCGCTAGATCCAGAATGAGCCTCGGGGATAGCGAAAATCCCTAAGCGTAAATAATATTTTGTGTCCTTGTTTCGAGTGACAATAAGTTGTCCTTTAGCCACAGGCGTGCCGCGCACGGGCCACAACTCCGTCGAGGTAATTGTGGCCCGTGCACGACTGCTCTACCGATGTTTGGCCGCACACCGCAGAAGGGGAGGGCGATTGCCGTATTCGTTGGCTCTCCCACGCGGAAGGGGGTATTCTGACCCGCACCCCTCACGTCCTTAGACGCGCGCCCTAAGGTCCTTCCGGTTGTGGCCTGTGCATGCCAAGACAACCCTTTTTCTACCAGCAACCACGCGTTACAGATATCAACACCAGAGATCACGTCGGATCGTAACAGCACTCCGCTCTCAACACCGCAAAAATTACGAACCGTCATTCTTTACGATGTCGGCCGTCAACGCAAGAATACAAGGTATAGAAGACACGCTCAAGAAGCTCCTAGATGTCGTGGATAAGCATGGGTCACCCGGCAGGCGCCGGTCCGCCAAATCGCGCAAGCCAAGCCAATCGCCTTGGAAGACGATCCGGTCCATCATTGATAAGTTGGCGCAAGACGTCCAGAGTGTTAAAGAAATGGTTGAAGGCTCCGGTAACAACATGGGGCACGACCGGAGCACGGAAGCTGATGACGGAAACGCCACTCCGAAAAATCGATTACAGACCTTGGATCAACCACCACAAAAGCGACAGCAAATTGGCCGAAACTCTTCAGATACCGCAGGAGACATTCAGAACGACGCACCAATTTCTGCAGATTCCAGCACGAATACAGACCGTCCGGCGACACCAACGCCGCTGCTCCGTAGGTTGGACATAGACGAGAATCGCGCTCCATCAACTCCTATTCCTAATCAATCTTGCACCGCACCAACCACTGTACCGACCAAAGTTCCTACTAGCGTCGAAAGCTCAGAATTCAAAGAAAATACTGCAGTGGGCGTGACTATGCCACACCGCTCGAGCCACCCTATCATGTCGACAATTTCTCAGTCCGACACTTCGACACAGAGCGTCTCTGAAATTCCTCGAAATCCCAACTTCACCATCTCTTATCGAGTGGAGCAGGGCGTCGTCGTTCTAGTGCCCGTGAACATGGAGCAGTGTCGCAATATGCCGTTTCTTTTCTCTCAGGCCGAGGCACTTGGTGCCCGTGAAACAGGAGTGTTTAAGTACGTGCTCCCGAGCGACTTTGAACTCGGTGCCCAGGCCGTCCCTAGGATTACAACGCATATGTCTAAGTTTGGGTCTCGCCTCGGACCGGACGACATCTTTCATATTTCACGGACCGAAGATCCGGAGACGCTTGAGATCAGCGAGACTAGCTTCACACCCACAGAGCCAGACGAACTATCAGAGATGTTAGAGCGTCGTCTGGCCGATCCTGAGGCGATAAGCAAGATGCGATACTGTACCGATCTTTCGGCGCAGACTGCCGAAGCTCGGCAACAATTGGGCTTACCCGCAGAGTCCCCCATCTGGCCTCTGAAAGGTAATATGTTGGATCGCACCAAGTACCGTGTCCCGGGACTCCACTGGCCGTATGGATATGTGTCGGGCGATGACGGATCGCTATTTGTCATACACCGTGAGGATGGCAAGCTGCCGTCGCTGAATGTCCTACACTATGGCAGAGAAAAACTCTGGTATGTGGTGGCTCGGAAAGACGGCGACCTCGTCGAAAACGAAGTGAAACGCGGGAAATGTGAGCAGAAAGTACGACACGCTTCGCGCTGGATTCCGCGGTCAAAGCTCAGAGCCATGGGTGCTTCCTTTGTCACATTCGTCCAACGTGCCCGCGAGGTGGTCGTGGTGTGGGGCGATAGCTACCATCAAGGTGGTACCGTTGGCCCCACCGTTGCCGAAGCCGTGAACTATGGCGGCCCTGGTTGGAGCATCGAAGGGTACTCTGAATGCAGCCCTAATTGCGATGGATATCCTATCCCAAATGCGTTCTTGGAGTTCCGTGCCCCGAATGAACCACAGCGCGAGCAAGGCGACGAAGTTTCACAGACAGTTCACGCCTCGGTCCAGCCTCAAGGAAGCGAGCGGCTAGCTAGAAACCGTCTACCAGAGCCGACTCGGGACGGTCAAGCAACAGAGAGCGAACTTAGGATGAATAAGCAGGAGGCTAGATCCCAAAAGAGGCGCAGAGACGCGCCGATCCCGCAGCACTCCCGCAAAAAGACCACGATTCAGACCATGCACAGTTCAGCCGATACGGCAATGACTGAAACTGAGATCCGCAACGATCTAGTCTCACGGATGGTGACGGCTATTCGGAGTAGAGACGCAATCCAGCAGTTCTTTGATATTGTCCACGGTCGTCGGGAGCCCGAACCCACAGCGATGCGAATAAATTTCACCCCAAATGCGGCTGAAAGACAACTTCGGGTCCAAGATCCGGCCCAAATGCTCGAGAACGATGTGAAGTTCCTCAGTATGCTTTCACGCAAGACTACCTTTCATGACTTCCTTACTCGGTTGTTCCAAGTCCGTCTTGCCGATCATATTAACGAGATTAGCCGAGGCCGTCTAAGGAGTGAGCCAGCTGTCATTGCAA